AGTACTGTACACAGGACAGCTGTTACCCTTCCCTTTATAGTTATGACACAAGCTCTATATCAAACATATCTCATCAATATACCAATTAGCGGTCTTCTGCAATCCTCACTTATCAAACGCTTTGAATAGTCACAGGGCCAAAATAGGCTCTGAATTTACACCAACCATTTCTTCCTTAACCATCATTATGATCCTGTAGCCTTCCGTACAGGAAGGGACAGAGGAGTGATGGTTAGGGAATGAGGGTGGGGTACAGTCGACTTTTAGTTAACGTGGTAATAGAATCCAAAAATATTACTAATTTATTTTCCTGATATAGGTCAATCTGAACTACTTACTCGAAATCAAGAAATGAGTAAGGAATTATACAAACTGCTAGTCCATTGCAATCAAATTAAGTTGACAATCTTATCAGCAAGACAACCGTAAATGAGGTGGAAAGTACTGTTGAGGATTAACATGATTCAGTCATATTAATTTCCAAATATATTTTGGTCATCTCCCCCGTGATTGTATTAATGTCATGATGCAAATTGGAGTTCACAGTATATTTCAGACAGCTTTAGATTTGTAACTATTCAGTAACACCAGAAAGTTCGATCTTGGAAGGTTTAAAATCATCTATAGTCTGTCAGAAAATTCTAGAACAAGCATAATTATGACAGTATACTAAATCAGAGTTGCAGCAAGGATAGGAGACCGAAGGGGAAAAATGATAATGGAAGAGTCTCTTTTTTCTGAGAAACAAAATGATCGGCCTTGCAGGTTCAAAGATAAAGTCTATTAAATATATTATTTTACATTTATTTAGTACCTTTAGTCAAGAAGTCTGTGGAAGAATTTTACAACCATTAATTATATTCCACAATACCTCTTAAAGGGAGGTAGGAGATACTGAAATCATCTCCCCATTGAAAGGTAGCTATCTTTAAGGAAAAATTCAACTGGTAATAACACACAGCATTGTCACACAGCAATTTAGGGATATGAATTGAAGGAAACAGCCAAATCTTTGGTCCCTTCTCTGGCTGCTGCAAAACTAGCTTAACTGGCCCATGTGGGAGGCAGAATGTAATTATGTAAACAGGAGTCTGGCCAGGACATTAAGGCTAATAGTTCTACTTCTGCAAAAAGTATCGTGAAAACCCAAACGTGGGTCAAGCAGATTTTACTATTGCAACATAAAACAAGTACTTTTCATAGCACTGTGCAGTTTAATAATATACTTGGTCTCTGGATCAGAACAGTCAAAGAGAAAAAAAATCAACTGCTGAATCACTAACTACACCTCTACCCCGATATAACACCGTCCTTGGGAGCCAAAAAATCTTACCGCGTTATAGGTGAAACCACATTATATCAAACTTGCTTTGATCCGCCGGAGTGCGCAGCCCCCCCCCCTCTGGAGCACTGCTTTACCGTGTTATATTCGAT